GCTAGCATGACTGGTGCTCCGTATGCGGCGGCCGCGGCAGGCAGTGGCTGTTGTGAGAGACATTATCTCCAGTCGGTCCCACCTCACTGGAACAGCCAAGTGGACAGTGAGGAAGTGACCTCTCTGCGCCCTGGGTGACCGGAGGACGCAGGTTAGCTGCCAGATTGCGGCCGAGGGCCGGGTCAGAAAGGGCCCCGGTGAGCATCTGCTGAACAGCGGCATGTCTGCTTCTCCCCCAGCCAGTGTGCCACCCCACATGGCCGAGCACTGAGGCTGAGAGCCGTCCCCCATGACTGCCAGGGCAGGACTAGAACCCAGGACCGTCTATCTTCAGACTACACATCCAACACCTCGGCTCTTGGGCCATAGAACCTGGGGGCCAGCGGGGCCCCACACCCCACCAAGATACCCACCCATGCCTCTGAGCGGCATGCGGTGAGCACTGCAGTGGACTGTGTCACCCGGCGAGGAATCGCAGTCACCAGGAGACGGGCTGGAGGCGTGAGTCAGGGAAGGTGACTTTCAAGCTCAGGCCTGAATGAGGAGTAGGGAGCAGCCTGGTGGGAGAGACAGTTCTGGGGAGCAGGAACAGCAACGAGGGGCAAATGTGCCTTCCATCCCACCACCGGTGGGGGGGCATTCCCTAGGCTCACCAAAGCCCTGGAGCCTCACCTTCTCTGAGGAACCCCCTCCAGGCAACCCCTGCTGGGTCCACAAGGCTTTGAGGATGTGGCCAAAGCTTCCCCAGCTCCTGCCAGGGCTGTGGCATGTTAGGCAAGAATTCAGGATCCAGGATAACACACAGCTTAGGCGCCGGCAAACAGCCACGATGAAGTGAAGAAAGCAAGTCCACTTACAACAGCATCAGAAAGAGAGGAAGGAAGCGGACACGGAAATACTTTAAAAAAACATTTTGCCAGAGGGTGTGTGCACTCACCAGAGACAAAGAGAGAAGGAAAGTAAGAAGGCACCTTCCACGGAGGATGGTGTGCTGCCATCAGTCCTTTCTCCTCCATCTCAGGATCTGGGCCCACACATACATGTGCCTGGAGTGTTTCTCAAGCCGCTGGGTCCAGGACTCAAACTGCACAGTCGTCCATGTGGCATCCAGCCACCTTAACCACCAGGCTACCATGGCCCGATAGAAAATCAATTTAACAAAAAAAAAGTACAAATTATATATACTAGAAAACTACAAAACATTGTTGAAAGAAATTAAAGATCTCGGGACCAGCAGTTGGCACAATGGCTATGTCACTGGACTTCCATGTAGTCAACTGCAGTTCGAGTCCTAGACCCAGTGGCTTAAAACTCATGCTGGGCACATGTGCATGCGTGCCCAAGATCCCGAGAGGAGAATGGAGGAGAAGGGATTGCAGCATGGCCATCCCCCCTGGGAGGGGGTTCTCGCTTTCTGTCTCTCTGTCTCTCTCTTTCTGGAGAGCACACATGCTCTTTAGCAAAAACCTCTCCAAAAAAGAAAAAAGAAAATAGTCAAAGATCTAAATAAGTAGAAAAAATGTTCCACATTCTTAGACTGGAAGACTTAATACTGCTAAGATAGTAATACTCCCAAATGGTTCTAGAAATTCAACACAATCCCTATCAAATTACTGAGCTGGCTTCCTCGTAGAAATTTGACAAGCTGGTCCTAAGCTTTACGTGGAAATTCAATGGGTAAGAATAGTCAACACAATCCTGAAAACGTCGAATATAACCGTTTCCTAGATACGACACTGAAAGTAAAAATGACAAAAGGAAATAAAATACATGGAACGTCATCAAAATTAAAAACTTTCGTGCTCCAAAGGATACTCAAAAAAGTGAAAGATGACCACTGGAATGTAGAAAATGTATCCAAATCACATATATAATAAGGGGCTTATATCTAGACTACATGGAGGTTATCTATAATTCAATAAAGAGAAGACAAACAGACCAATTTAAAAATGGACATTATTGGGGCCAGCAGGTGGCGGTGGTTGAGGCCAGATTCCCACATGATCGACTGGGGTTTGAGTCCTGGACCTGGCAGCTTGAAAAATCACACCGGGAGCATGTGCTTGCCTGCCCCAAATGCTGAGAACCACGGAGAAGGGGCTGTAGCATGGCCATCCCTCCCAGGGGGTGCTCTCTCACTTGCCCTCTCACTGTCTCTCTCCTGCGAGCGTACACGCCCTATGGCAAAAAAAAAAAAAGAGAGAGAACATTATCCAGACGGTGGCACGCTGGTAAGAAGTGACGCTCCTGAGGCTGACCCATGTCGGGCGTCCTGGTCACATCCGGAGACCTCCCTGAGGATGGCAGGTGCACATGTGCCCGTGATCTGGGGCTGGCCAAGGTTGTACTGCAGGGTCCAGACCTCACTGGGGTGCTCTCTTGCTCACTGAATGAACGAACGAATAAAGGATCCCAACAGACGTTTCTCCCAGAGGATACGGACAGCCAGTAAACGCCGAGGTGATGTGCAACACTAGCTCTCAGGGACATGCGAGCCCGGAAATGAAGGGCCACTTGCCACCCACCAGGACAGCTGGGCTCAAAGACGTCAGGACGCGTGCTGGTGAGGCTGTCGAGAAACGCACCCCCACACACTGCTGCTGGTAGGGACACGGGATGGGGCGGCCACCGTGGAACAGAGTTACCACACGACGTGGCAATTCCACTCCTAGGCATATACCCAAGAGCACTGAGGCAGGTCAACACAGAATCTGGAACGCAAATGCGCAGAGCAGCCTTAGTTCCTGACAGCCAAAAAGTGAAAGCACCCATCAGCTCAATGCCCATCAGCAGGCGAACGGGTAATAAAACGCAGCCTATCCACACCGCAGAATGTTACTGCCAATAGAAGGAGACGAGGCGCCGGCCCGTGCACTGCAGCGTGGGCTGAACAAGCTGAGTGGAAGGAGCCAGCTGCAAGGCCTGCAGCGCGGGTTCATTTACATGAACCGTCCGGCTCGGCACGCCCACGGACACAGACAGACTGGGGTCACCAGGGCTGGGGAGGCGGGAAACTGTGGGAGTCACTGCTGAGGGGGACGGGGCTTCTGGGGTGATGAGGATGCTCTAGGCCGACTGTGGGGACAGCCACACCGCCTGAGTATATGAAAATCACATCAATCAAACCTACCTCCTGCCTCCCCACAACACACAGACCCTAGAGAAAGAAAGCAAGCCAGAAAGACGGGTGGGCACTGCGAGCAGAGACGAGAAGGTGGGACTGCTCTCAGGTGAGGGCCAGGGATGGCCCCCATGGCGGGGATATCTGAGCAAGGCTTAGAGGGAAGTGAGGTAGAACATGCTGGCAAAAGAAGGGGGGGAGGGACCAGCAGTTGGCATAATGGCTGTCGCTGGACTCCCATGTAGTCAACCATGGTTCGAGTCCTGGACCTGGTGGCTTAAACTCACAACAGGCACGTGTGCATGTGTGCCCAGGATCCCAAGAGGAGAATGGAAGAGAAGGGACTGTGGCATGACCACCCCCCCTGGGGGGTGATTTCTCGCTTTCTGTCTCCGTCTCTCTCTGTCTTTTTGGCAAGTGCACGTGCCCTATAAAGACCTCTCCAGGAAATAAAAAAAAAGAAGTGGAGGAGCACAGAGGCCAGCCTCTGAGGGGAGAGCAGAGCAGGTGAGATGGCGAGGGGCAGAGGCAGGTCTCAGGGTGGAGAGGGGAGGGAGGGACTCTGGACCTT